GAGGCTAGGTAGCCCCGCTGGTGCTTTTTGCTGTGTGTGGTGGTTTTCACGGAGCATCAGGCACCAGGCACCCATTTTTGGATTAATGCAAGAGGTACTTCCTTGTACTTCTTCCCGTCCCTCCTGTCGTTGGTCCCACTCCTTTCCCTCATCGCTTGTATCCCCTGTAGCTTCTTTTGGAAACCTTTTTACCCTTCTCATTGAAAGTCCCTTTCTGTAGTGAACCAACTCTCCTTAAATCCTTAACCTCCTCACAGTAGTCTTACACCCTTGTCATTTATACCTCAGTGAAGCTGGGGAAAAAGCCCATGTCCTATTCTCACTTTGTTTTGTAAATTAAAGTCACAGAATCCTTCTTCAAACAAAATCATTCACGGACTCTTGGTACAGAGAGCAGGTGAGAGCACAGTGACAGGATGCAGTGAGGGTGGGGAGGGGAGGGAAACAGTCATTTTTATAGGTGAACCCAAGAACTTGTATCGGCAGTAAGCACAATAAAGGAAACCTATTGAACCCAGAATCAAGTGGGGCTTTCTTGGCTGGTTGTTATCTGCCTTGGGTGCCCACTGTGTTTGCCACTGTTATAGATGCCGAGAAACTCTTACCCTTTGTACTCCTCTTTTGTAGAGTACGTTTTCTTTCTTCTCATGGGGCATAAGATGTGCAATGATGTTTTAGTTTTGTTGGTTAAAATAATTTTCAGTCTCGTGATCCTGAGATTATATTATACATAGTACTTTGGATTTGAATGTTTCTAGGTATCCTCAGTTACACATTTGAATACATCTGCTTGGATTATTTTTTCAGATTAATGAAGCCCATGAAGTCTTAGAGTTACTTTAGTTTCCATATTTGGCAGCTCCTCACCTAACTCCCCAAGTCCTGACAATAGCCGTATGAAGACAGAGTTGCATTGCCGTGACAGACTATTTCCTCCTTGACTGCTTGTTCCAAAACTTAGGAAGGGCATCATAGTCACTGAAGTATCTCACAGTCACAGATCCTTAGTTGTTTTCTTACATTATTTGCCAAGATGTTTTAATGCATTTCACATGGCTACTTGCCTGCACATACATAAACACTTAAAATATCCTATCACTTGAGTATTGAATGCAAACAGTAATCACATGCAGAGTGGTTAAGAGTGTGCTTGTGTTGTATAGGTGCAGACTGATCTGACCCTTTCTGGTGTTGTGAGAAAGTTTTAGGAGTGCATTCATATACATTTAGAAATAAAAAAATCAGATATATATTTAAATTTTTTTTTCTTTTTGATTTTTAGAGAGAGAGGAAGGGAGGAGGGAGAGAGAATAGCAACATCGATGGGAGAGAACATTGATTGGCTGCCTCCTGCATGCCTCCCACTGGGGATTTGGCCCACAACCTGGGCATGTGCCCTGACTGGGAATCGAACCAGAGACCTCTTGGTGCATGGGTCGAGACTCAACCACTGAGCCATTCCGGCCGGGCCAGATATATATTTAAAAACACTTTTTCATGAATGAAAAATTTGCGTGAAGACAGACATTATTATGAGTATTTTATGTAAATTAAATATCAATTTGCAGGAAAGAGATCAAGAATAAGAGAAATGAGTACAGAGAAACATTTCCTCTTTACCGCCATTTGTAGAGAACTGTGTTTTTCTTGATATATGCATGAATTTCTTCTTCTTCGAGGCTTATTTTGTTCACAAGATGCAGAAAAGCAGGAACTGTCAAATATTAAATTGTGTTTTTACTTTGAAGACATGCAATATATTATAATCTCTGTAAATTTCTATGCTATTTTAATCAAGAGATGTTTGCTCCAGTGCTTATGGACACAGTCAAGACTCAAGTGTGATTTATGTTCTGAAAGACACTAGAAGCATACTACTCAAGGACCCAGGCGGGCCGGGGACGCACCCCGGCTCCGGCGCGCGTTCCAGAGTGTGCAGCTTTGGGTCTCGGTCACTGCATCCTCTCGAATCTTCATTTCTCATTCGTGAAATAAGGGAGTGATATTCTCATCTTTCTGTGTTTTCTGTGATACTGCGAATTTTAAGATTCTGTACAAGTTATTGTTTGAATTTGGTGGTTGGCAGAAACGAGGGAAAGATTTCTTTGTTTTCTTTATTACTCAAGTTAATACTCTGGGCAAGGTTATGTCTCTGTTAATTTAGAAATATGTTTCAAGAAAATATTCATGATTATTTTGAACTTTACATTCAATTTTCATTTTAATTAACATTTCAAGGCTATCTTAAATGAAGACATGGAAATTCATACTCTTTTAAAATTTCTTGAGGCATTATTTTTATCAACTTCTTATTCTGAAAGATAAAGCTTTTAAAAATATGCCTGTGTGATTTTATTTAGGCTTTTATTAACTTGAACAAAACTCACTAAACAAAAAGAATAGGCTATAAGAAGGAAATGTGCAGAGCAAGAATACTCTGAGATAACGCCTTAAAGCTTTTTTGCTACTTTATTTGGTCACATATAAAGTGTGGCATTAATATTTCATAACTGGGGTGTGAGTTTTGGCTTAGCTTATAGTTCTTTTCTATCTTCTCATTTTAAAGCTAAATACTGCAAAAGCATAAATAATATTTTAAACAAATTACTTAACAAAGCGTCTCTATTTTTAACTTTTCCTCTTTATTTTCTGGTATTCTGCTTAATCCCTTAAAATCATCCTTGGTCCGTTTCATACCTTGATCTAATGATGATACTGTCACCAGAACATTGCCCTAGGAAGTTATATATTGGCTGTACTGTTTTCAGTGTGTTACATAACTACATACATGGTTGCCTTGACGAAGTACCGTATAAATGCTAACCATGATTATTATTGTTGGTACAATATTGTTGGTGATGATGATATTACCTCTTTTTTGTTTTCCACACCAATATTTTTCTCTAATAGAAATGTTTGCACATCTCTAAACAACCTTCAGGTGTTGTACTCAGTTGGATTCTCACTTTGGAATCTAAAGTGTCCCAGCTGACTTGCATTTCCAGAGTTGATGGGCATTAGTGGGCCCTCAGATTCAGTGTGTCCTACATGAGTTCTTGGCTTCTGTTCCAGTTCTCAGCCAGCTTCTCCTGGTGGATAGTGACTGCGTTTTATTTTCTTGGGCTAAGCATCAGCAAACTCTGGCCTTTGGGCCAAATGTGACTTGCTGCTTGTTTTTGAAATGAAGTTTTGTTGAAACACAGACACACCCGTTTGTTTAGGTATTGTTCCTGGCTGCGGTTGCTCTAAGATGGCAGAGTTAAGAGTTGCAACAGAGACCTATGACCTGCAAGGCCTAAAGCATGTACTATACGGCCCTTTATAGAAAATGTTGGCTAATCTTTTGATTCTTTCTTGGGGTTTCCCAAGTAAATATGAGGAAGAGAACTAATCTCCTTTTCTTTAATCATCTCCCCCCTCTCCCTCTCCCTTTCTCCTCCCCCTCTCCTCCTCCTCCTCCCCTTTCTCGCCTTCCTCCTCCTCCTCCTTCTCTCTCCTTCATTCACGTCCTCACATCCCTTTGTCGAGGGTATTCAGTTAATTCCCCCCCCCTTGGTTTCTTGTCCCCTTTTATTTCATATTACATTTCATATTTCATTAACTTTGTCACCAGTGCCATGTTCTCAAAGTTTGGCTCCACTGTGCCACCAAAACTTCAGAGATTTCCCCATTGCCTACTAAATTAAATACTCTCCATTACCTTTTTTAAGTCTCCTTCTACAATATACACCCTATCCGTCTTCCTGATACCAAAATTCTTTCTATAATGAAATACTTTCTCCCTACTTTCCTGCTTGTCTTTGTCGTGGTGTGACAACTGCGGAGCTTTCTCTGCCTCCATCCCGCCTCTCCAGCGTCTGTTTCCCCTTAAACTTCTAATTTTTCTGTGAAGCTTTTTACTGTCTTTTCTTCGGTGTACATCATTATTATTTTCTAAATGTTTTTATTGATTTTTTTGGAGAGAGAGGTAGAAAGAAACATTGATGTTAAAGAGAAACATCAATTGGCTGCCTCCTGAATGACCCCTGCTGGGGACCGAACCCACAGCCTGGGCATGTGCCCTGACCAGAAATCGAACTGGGACCTCTCAGTCCATGGGGCGACGCTCAGTCCACTGACACACCAGCCGGGCACTTGATGTACATTCTTTTCTCTCCATGATGTGTTGCCTGTACCTCTTTTTGTCACTAAAAACCTTTCATTTGACGCCGTGTTGCTTATGTCCTTTTACATGTCATCTGTTATCCACCATAAGCTTGTTGAGTGTAAGGCACGTCTTCCTCTTCACTGTTCCCTTAAACACCATCCTGTTTTCCATGTATTTAATAGTTAAGTAACTGAATCACTTTATGGAAAGCAGGCTTTTTATTTGGATTTAATTATTGGTGACCTCACAGACTCTCTTGGATATTTGGCAATGATTCTAGGTGTTATGGCTGCGGTTCTTGAGGAAACCAGATGTTACTTCCTTGTATAGATGTTAATGTAAATGGAAAGATTTTTTTTTGATAAGGTATTCCACATTTATTACAAGAAAACCATTTGTGTGCAATGATGTGCTTGGTACTGATAAAAAAGTAAAACCAGGTGGCTGAAGCAGGCAGTTATTCTTTTGGATATGTTAAGCAATCTACTGAAGTCAGGTCTTTTTAATGTCGTTAACACTTTTTTTCAAGATTCCAAGTGGAAAAGTTGTACCAAAGTACTCTAAGTTATTGAAATAAAACACTTATAGGTGCTGTTAAAATGTAGTATTTTATATTCTGCCTATTGATTCATTGACTCATTCTCTGAATACTTCCTATACCATACCCCTGTGGTATGATAAATAGACACATACAGAAGTCTTATTAGAGTATGTTCTCTTTAAACCGTTGTAAGAAAATCCAGTTCCATGCTAGATGGGCTTGTTATTTAGAGAATTGATATGCACTAACATCAGCTTCTGTGGGTGTACCTGGGAGCAAGAGAGTTCACACTGTCTCCCTTCAACCTTTCAGAAGAGCTCAGGAGGAGAACAAGAAGATAGTGCTGGCCGGATGTGTTCCTCAAGCCCAGCCTCGCCAGGACTACCTTCAAGGACTGAGTGTCATAGGGGTAAGCCCATGTCTGTGGGAAAAGAAAGTCTCATGTCGTTAAAACCTGTAATAACCACACACTTCATTTTCTGTTTCTACATTACTTACATGCTGTGTTATACTTGGGACTGTCCTCGACTTATGTCCCTTGTTGCCGTGAAACTTTGTCATGCCTGTGTAACTAACAGAATAAATAAGTCATAGTATGGAGGTGAAGCCCCTTAATAATAACCTGGTTTTTGCCTGCCTGTCTGGTACTACCATATCATTGTAATTTTCTAACACACTAACTACTTGTCATCCCCCAGTCCACCCTGATGCCTTTTTGGGAATGCCCCCCTTCCCTAGTCACCCGCACGTCTTGGCTTCAGCATCCCCGTTCGGTCAGCCTTCTCTGAAGTCTGTGCGGTCCTCAGTAGCCCTGTCTCTGGCTCCCCTGGCTTACCCTGCAGTTGTCATTTGCTCTCTCAGCCTTTCACAGAGCTGTGATTTTGGGGTTAACGTACACAGATTTTTAAATAAAAGCCTACCTTTCTATTTAAATTCTTAACTTCATGATGACAGCTGTTCAGTTATTTTAAAACCCTCGCATGCTCTGCAGCCTTTCCCACGATCCCCAGCATACAGTAGGCACTAAGTGAGGGTGACTACACTGAATGAAAGAATGGGATACCGCCCCTCCCCCCCTCGTTGGGCAGTCAGCTTGGCTCTGAAGTCAGGAGATGGCTCTCTGCTATGTCTCTATTCTCGTGGCCCTTCCTACTCACAAGGTGCCATTCAGTCCCGTCCGCTGACCACGAGGTGGTGCTTCACCCGCCCCTCGTCGCCTGCAGCTGCGCTCAGTGTGCTCAGCAATGAGCTTTCACACAGTTTTTTAAAAATGTAAAAATATTGAATGTGCCTAGAAAAAATGTATATACATAATTGGCACCTGGGTTGAGATTTTTTTGAGTTTTCCTTATTTGATGTATCATTGACAGGTTCTTATATTGTGTTCTTAGTGTAATGAACTTGTTTTCTGCTGTGAAGTCCTTGCCCCACCAGCAGATTGAATAATCTTTGAACAAACATTCTCGTGCTAAACAAACAGAACCTGCATGTCTGGGAACTGTAGTTTGTTTCCATCGTTTGTCTGTTTACATTTTGATTTCTCATAAGGAATGAGATGAATATGGACTCCTGAGTTATCTTTTCACATCAGACTAACTTTCTCCGTAAACATAATCCTGCTGTGTCAGGGAAATCGGAAACTCCTTAGAATTTCATGTTAGAGATGGAATGTGGTAAAAGCTTGGGATTCATCTTAGATTTCATCTCAGGGAATTAAGTTACCAGAATCGTTGAATTTCTTTCGTATGGCAAAAGCCTCTTTTCTATGTACATATGGTAACATTTTCCTGAACCCCGTTGTGTGCAGTAAGGAGCTTAGTATATGTTAGGATGCAGGGCCAATTCTCAAGATAGTGTAAGGGAGGACCCGGTGCTGGTGATGTGAAGACGATTTTCAGGGGTAATGTGGACCCATGGCTGTGACACCGAACCGTGCTGTCCTGTTAAATCTAGCGCCCTCTTCATTCTGTCACCTGGCCTCACTGTGTTACCTTCAAACTTCTTTAGGTTTATTTTATTTTGCTCCTTTATCATTGGAAAGAGAACTTAAGAACACATGTTTTAAAAAGTGAATAGAAAACACCCCCATAATCCCATCACCCTTACACAATAACTATAACCTTTCTTATGCTCTTCAGACTTCTAATCTTTGCATATTTTACTTAATTATGATCTCCAAACTGTTTTTCTTCTTATTTTTCCATGAGCTTTTATTCCATGAGGTTTTTGACTATTTTAAATTTTTCATTGATATTCTATTGAAAGATAGGACGTAATATGCTTAACTATTCTTAATTGTTGGATATCAGTATTTTCTGATTTTTAGGAAATATACATCACACATTAATGCCATAAAGGGGTTTTTATTTTAATTTAAAATCAGTATATTGTCAATATTTTCCAGAAGTTGAATCACACTATCAGTAGAAACGTTGTACTTTAATTTTATTTTCAGCATTTATTATTAACTATAAGATTATTCTTTGTCAACATCATTTTAGAAAATATTGTTTTCTGTAACAACAATATGGCATCTATCATAACTGACTCTTTATGTGTAAAAATCATGTCCACAAAACCAAAAATTTCAGAATAAAAAAGCTGGAATAGAAACCAAAATTATCTATAATTAGTGTTTAGAGGGGCTATTTCTGAGCAGAATTGTTAGAATTGTTTAAAATCAGAAACCTCCTGAAATAAAATGAGCTACATCAAAATGAAGAAATGGATTAAATTGGTTTACACAAAGAAAAAGCAATTCTGAAGTGTGAAAAAAGATGAAGATGTTTACATTCAGTGATTTCGGAAACTTTTTTAGGAGGATGTGTGGAATTGTGTTGCACATTTGATTTACAGGCTGGGTGGAAAGTGTTAGTCCTTCACAGGATCGCCCTCAGAATCATGGGTGGAGGTGTCGACAGAGGAGGGAGGAACAGCCGTGACTGCATTCTGTGCCTTCACTTCCCCCTGGGACTTGTCTCTTCCCCCCTCCGTTCAGGGAGGAAGTGTCAGCTCTGGCGACCAAGTGGCTGAGATAAAAAGCCGCCGTTAGGTGGGGATCCATGGGTGAGCAAGCTACTTATTTGCACACTTGAGTTAAAAAGACATACTATCCCATGTTTACAAATGCCCATAGCATTTGAGAAGATATTCAATAAGTAGGAAGGCTAGTACTACCATCGTAACATGTTAATTTTCATCACTATCAGCCTTTAGAAATGGGGCGTCGAATTTGTTTTCGTGATCAGCGAGAGCAATGGGTGAGGGTACACAATGATTGGTGATTTGAGCCCAGGGCCTTTTCCATTGTCTGTCTCACTGCCTCCTGAATCTATCTAGTTGTGGTTAATACTATTTGTGTGGCGGCACACAGTAAGAAAATAGAAGTAAAACCTGTCAACCTCCGGGTCCAGAACTGACTTTGGTGGAAGTAACCTTCTCCCATCCTGGAGCACAGAGCTGTCTACTTTTTTTCACATTGGGAGAGGAGAAAGAAAATATTTAAAACATAGAAATCTTCGATGACAATATCTTTTTGTTGTTGTTGTTAATTCTCACCTGAGGATATTTTTCCATTGATTTTTAGATAAAGTGGAAGGGAGAGAAGGGGGAGAGAGAGAGAAACATTGATGTGAGAGAGACACATCAATTGCTTGCCTCCTGCAGGACCCCAACTGGGGCTGGGGATCAAACCTGCAACCCAGGTACATGCCCTTGACCAGGAATCATACCTTTGACCCTTTGGCCCTTGGGCTGATGCTCTAACCACTGAGCCAAATGGGCCAGGGCTGAAAATATCTTTTTTAACTAATACTTTTTTTCCTAGAGAGATTAAATGACATTTTTATTTTATGTTTAAAATATGTATTTGTAGATAACCAATCAAGATCTTTTTCATTTTTTTCAGTGCCTTGGAACATTTTACTTTATAGTGAAAAATTTTATTTCTCTTTTGGCAGATAGTTATGGTTAACCATCCACCTTGGAATGAGTTTTCATGCAGTATCATTTCTTTCCTATTATGTTTAAATTGTTTACTCTGTGTCTACCTGTAGGTAGTAATTTCATGATCTTGTGACTCTACCTATTGAATATTCCATTTCTTCTCTTCAGCTCATTTGTTGGCAGGAAAGTTTCTTTTAGAACACCCAGAAGTCAAGTCGATCTCTGATAAAGTCAGGTAGAAAAAATCTAGTAGACTCCAGGACTCAGAAAGTTTGGCTTCAGATCCCGGGGCTGCTGCATCATTCTTCTTCGGTTCAGCAAGTGCATGCTGAGTGTCTACCGTGTGCTTGCTACTGTCCCAGGCAGTCTATGAAATTAGAGATCCTTGTCTGTGTAGAGCTTACAGTCCAGTTTTTGGGGAGAGACATCTGGATCGAGCCTAGAATATTTCCAGCCTAGGCCACAGGGAGATGGATTAGTTGAGAATTTCTCTGTAAGGCTCTGATGGAAATACACTCTGTGTCCATTGGTTAGAATTTGTGTTAGGGGTATAGATAGGTCATATAGTATTTATTTGCTTGAATTTTTCTAGATATTGTTATTTCTCAATTATTGAGTAGCCATTATTGATAGGCATGACATTTATTAGGAAGGTTGGGTTTCTACTCTGTTATTGGGAAGCAGGTTTACAAAACCTGTACATTTTGTATAGATTTTTCTGTGCTAATAAACAAGAACTGTATTTGAACTTGGCCTTGGTATTGATTCATTAGGCTTATCTTTGTAGTAATTGTAAAATTTGTCTAGAAATGCCAAATAAACTGCAAATTAATACATATGCGGAGATACTCTAAAACAGGCAGTTCACAGCAGGATATATAGTTCGATGTTGAAAATTTGTAGACGACAGAACATCCTGACGTGCAAGCCATGAGCCCTCCAGACAGAGGCACGTTTTCTCTGGAGAGCTGAACAAAAATGTGATTAACTCAGGTGTCCATTTATCTCAGGGCCTGTTACTCGGTTGGTTTGCAGTGGTTTAAACATCTTTTCGGCAGGCTGCTCTAATCCTGCGAAGTCAAACAGCATGATGGCCATTTCAAGTGTGGACACTTCAATTTCGAAAATTGTATGTGTAAATAAGGCACATTTGAAAGAGGCTATATTTGAGAATATTTCAGCTATATATAACATATTGTAAAAGGTAAATAAGTTTATGAAGTGTGACAATGTCACAATGATAGTGGCATTGATGTTGAGGACAAAGCTTGGGAAACTGTATCCTTCCTGTTTTTCAGTACTTCATGTCTTCTAGTGTTTCTTCCTTTCATATTATGTGGGTTGTTTGTTTTTACTATTAATTATCAAAAGGCAGTGTCATAACAGAATAGCATGTACATTTAAAAGCCCATTCATGTTTGTACTTCCTAGATCTGTTATCTTCTCTAAGGCCTCCTCTGATTT